AACTACACAGAAGAAGGGTTAAAATTACCCTTTATTAAACTCTTTAAAATTTGCAGTGCGTCAACTCGATGCTAACACACTACGCCTCCCTTGGGTGCTAACTGAAATCATAGAACTAAACTAAAAATTCGAAGATATTCACAAGTAGTAGAAATCCCCTACTGAACTCAGATATTCCTGTTTCTTAAACCCGTGTCGAAACTGATGGCGGCAAGTAAATGCAGTTAAGCCACTTAAACCAGCAATAACTCCGGGAGTACAAGCTCACGTAACGGAGGTGACGGCAATAGCCTATCTCTCCCTAACTTTCCTACTGAACCTCGGTTTTAAACTCAAGGTAGAATTTGCATTCCTTCACGCGTGCTAGCAAATTTAAATATTTCGGCATTGACAATTTGGGGAATGAAGGCTTATAGGAAAGCCTAAAATTAAAACTTAAACTTGTTAGTTAAAAATAAACATAAAACCCTACAATCTATTTCATATTTTGTAAAGCATTTATAAGTTTCTGATTAAGAAACTAAATTCTAAAGATATGCTGTGTAAAATATTTTGTGATATTGATGTTGAACTGAATTTTAAGGTGTAAGTGCGAAGAAAAAAAAGGCATCTTTTGGCATAATATAAAGTCTGAAAACTTTCAATTTTTTTCTTTTTTAAACTCTATCGCTTTGTACTTTGTAGTAAACTTCTATTATCTGTAAGCTAAAGAAAAGATTTTCCCTACAAATTCGGCTACATGTGTCAGAACCGACAATTTTTTAATTTATGTAGTTCATTAATCTTGTGGTAGCGTAGCATTAAATCACTGATCAACCATCTTAAAATGGTGTAATTTAAAATATAGTGAAAAAACGTGACTGTGGGTGTCTGTAATGTTAGGAATTCATCTTTTATATCAATTAAATAAATTACCCGTTTTTATCTTTTATTTATTTATTTATTTATTTTTTTTTTCTTTTTAATTTTGCAGTTTTTGGATTTTATTGCAGTAAACATATTTCTGATAGGTAAATCAAGTGATGCACATACCTGAATTCGCTTCTCATTCATTTTGAAACTATCTCAAGAGTTTCATCAAAGTTCATTTTGCTTCGATTTCCTCTTCGCGTTTTTCCTGGTTCGAATCTCCTGTCCCCCGGGATGAAGGGGATTATTTTAAAGTATCTTTTTAAGTCTTCTCTAATCTCTGAGTCTGGAAAGAGGGATTAGAATTGAATAATTTATCGTCATTTCTCTTCCACTACCCCTCTCCCCCCCACACCGTCCCTACGTTCTCTGAAAACGGTGGAGGTTGATCGCCTCCCTTCCTCCCATGCCACCAATTTTCGTCGTTTGCCTCAAAACAATCCGTTTCTGCACAATTCCAAGAGATTTTTCAGCATTTCTCGTAGCTTACGTTTCCGTTCACTTCCTTTGTTATTTAAAATTCTGCCGGTGGGAAGAACTTTTCATGCTGTTTGCGTACTAAAATTTTGCTTTTCCAGTGTTATGGTTACTGATTACGAAGAATTAGAAATCGGTTCGAGATGGTCTTAAGTCTTGTAGTGTCTTTCCTCTGAAGAACGATTCATAAAGTTCTTGTCTACTTCGCATCCCGTTATCATATCGACAATGCAATTAACAATCATTGATGAAATGCGAAATGGAGTATCTGTTGTTGGCTGTATAATGACAGCTACCTGCATGTATAAAGATGTTGTTATATAGATTTTTATCTATATATGAATTTTTTCAGGATCTGGCATGAAAATGCTTTCACGTTTCTCGTTTTGAAACTCTGATAGTCTGTACTAAATTCGATCGTAAGTGGTAGTCTCTGGTTTAGTGGGTTAGTTCCCAAACGATTCGACTAACAGCGACCATACTTGCGAACGAGATATCATGGGTGGGCGGGAATAATTTATAATTTAATCATTAATTTGATTAATAACGTCTTCGCGCATATAAACAAATGGCGCAAACCACTTGTTTTCAAACTTCGCCGATTTGGGAATGTTCTTTTGTGGAAAATCTCAAATTATATATGTGCTAGTTTTCTAGTTTGCTTGTTTCACAGGACCTTTAAACTACCATGTATTTCGGCGTATAATGTGCACATATACGTGGGCATTTCGAAAAGTAAAGATACACCGTACGCCAGAGGAAAAGAAAAGTTTTGGTGAGCAAGTTGGCAACACAGGTGTTAACCTTGAACCGTTAGCTTTCTCCTCGCGGTCGTTCGGCATTCTAACGTTGATTCTGGTTGGAGTAGGTCGTGTTTAAAATGGCTGCGCCGATTCAGAATCCCGCCAAATGCGAAGTGCGCTCCGTCATAAGTTTTCTTCATGCAAAAGGTCAGCGACCAGCGGATATTCACAAAGAAATTGTTTCTGTTTATGGGAACATTATGAATCGACAAAATGTAACGAAATGGTATCGTCATTTCTCTGAAGGTAGGACCGATGTTCATGACAAACAAAGAACAGATCGGCCATCTGTGATCTCTGATGCCCTTCTTTAGAAAACAGAGGAAGCAATTCGTGCTAATAGACGTCTCAAATTGAAAGAATTGCATCAGATCATACTGGAAGTGTCAATGGCAACTCTTTTTGAAGTTATGACTGTCAAGTTAGGTTACAGGAAATTGTGTGCACGCTGGGTTCCAACAGGCGGCAACCTTCTATGACTGCGGGATACAAAAGCTTGTGCACCGACTTAACAAATGTTTGGATAACGGGGGTGATTATGTCGAAAAATAATAAATAATCCAGTTAATAAGATGTAACTGACGTTTTCTAAATAAATTTTTTTTTTTTTTTTTTTTTTTTTTTTTTTTTTTAAAGAAATGCGAGCCATTGTATCTTTACTTTTCGAAATGCCCTCGTACTTCCCAACTACGTTTATTAATTTTTATTTACATTCGCCATATAACGCGCACCTCTTTCGCTAACGAAACCTGAAAGATACGTGTGCGATGCTCTTTTCTTTTGAAGTCATTCATTCGAAGACTTTTCCCGTGCTTTGGAAAATGGTATATTGAATTGACAAGCGATAAGGTGAACAATACCTGTGTGTCAGTAAATAATTCTGCAAAGAGTGTGGGTTGTATTCAATGCAGAAGTGTACAAGAGTGTTATTATAGAGTTTTGAGGGAAAAGTGAGCAGAATTTGGGTTATGAATGCCCTTCCGACCTGAATGAATTCGCAAAATTAGGAGTCAGAGGTTTTCTCTTTCTGTAGTCTTTTGAAGTGAACATCGAAGGCTTTGGTAAATCGTTTTTCTTTTAGCTTAAATACACTTGATCTGGTGTTCGTTTAATATTAAATATGGCTCTTGCCAAACGAAACAACACAAACTGCTTTCAAACGCCTCTTAGAACGGATTATGTTTGTTATTTGATTCACCACTGTAGCTACTAAAAGATCAATTTGTAACCCCTACACATAATGAGATAATACCATTTTATAAGGTCTGTTAGTTATCCATTGGCTTTTCCTTTTGAAGCACTCGTCATAAGTAAAATTTTTGTTGTTCATGAAAATAAAACTTGAAAACCCAGTACTACTACCCTCCCCCATGGAATTTATTTGGCTGACTCTCTTTTATAAATAAATGAAGGTAGAATCAATGCTTTCAACAACATATGTAGGCTGTTTAGCATCATTTCTTTTACATTCATTACTTTTTGATCAGTTTTACTTCAGTGTCTGAAAGTAGGTGAGTACTTTCATTGCAAAAGGTTGCAAAAGCTCTGCCATCATAAATTTGGACTTTCTGAGCCCCTGATTCAATAGATTCAATCATATTTTCTAAAGATTTTTGTAAACAATCTTTACCTAACAAGTAAAACGCAATAGCTAACATAAAACTGGTATTAAAATTCTTTTCTTAAGAAAGGTCAAAAGCAAAAATAAGCTAATTCAAATTATGTAATTGTTTTAAGTAATTTATATAGTTTAAAGAATGGCTATCTTTTACGTTTATAATGCCCACCAGCGGCCGAGCGGTAATGTCGCTGAACACTGGTAGTTCGGTCCGAGGTTCGAATCCCGCGAACGGGCTGGCTGCATGGGCGTTTTCGTGGGTTTTCCCCATGTGTAACGTGTATACGAGCCAGTTTCCCTTAGAAAGTCCTCCACAAAGGCATCCCTCCCCTTAGGCAGATAGCCCTAGTGTGCTTTGCCGTAATTAAATAAACCAAACCAAACATTTACGTTTATAATCGTTACGTCTCGTCACTCTGTGAAGTGCATCTTCAGTGGATTCCTTCCCCATGTTGATATATGGGGGAATGAAATGGCAGATATTCTGGCGAGGGAGGCTTCTGAAGAACCTTTGCCAATTATCAATTCACTGACATATCTTGAACTGCGTTCCATTAGAAGACATGCTGACAGGCAGATTTGGCTCGTTCCCCCGAGTCATCCCTGGTATCAAGCTGATTGTCCTGGAAGATCCCTTGCTATGGATTGCGAAAGATGTGTTCAGACAACACTTTCCCGATTCTTCAGTGGACACTTGAGGGGACTTGAGGTTGAGAGTGGTGTCAAGATGCACCCAATTTGTTCGAAATGTCACAATGCACCCGCATCACCGGCACATATCCTTGAGTGCCTGGAGTTGTCTCTTGTGGACCTTTACGGGTCTCCTAAGCTTGTTTTTGATTTTCTAAAGGTGAGTGGACTCGTGGACCTCGTCTAGTATACTATTCCTAGGCATGAAGATTAGCAACAACAACAACGTTTATAACAAGGGGTGGAAAATAATAATGGGTAAGAGATGTTTCCAATTTAGGTTTAGTCGTGAAGAGGATGAAGGATCGTCACTGGGCACAGTTCCTCCCCCCTTGTTACCTTACGTAACATAATTGAGTGCTCATGTGTGGTAGTTTCAGGTGCATTCTGGAGTGTAGCGTATTGTCGCTACTTTTTCGATTCCTTTACCTTCATTTTTACGTTGTTTAATTGTAATATACATGTGTTTTCAAGAAATCTTTTCTTTTTTTTTTTTTTTTTAGCGTGCTTTTGAAGCCTTGTGTCATAGCACTCATTTGTACAATCGCCGTTTGGTGCTGGAGTGGGCGAACCCCGAAGCTGACAGTGTTACCGAACTTCGTAAAAAAACAGCTAAAGATTTCATCCAAGGTAAGTTTTCGATGGTTTCTCTCTGAATCATATTCATGAAGAAAAAAAAAAAAAAAAAAAAAAAAACTAAGTATTAATATTTATATATAGATTGCAAACGCAGTTCTACATGCTAAAAGATATTACTTATTTATTTTAATTTTTAATTATGTAAGGTGAATTGCCAAGGTAATTAAAGTTAAAGTAAGATTAGGTAAGACAGATGAATCATAATGTCCTTTTTACTTCGGGAAGTAAAAAGGAAGTATTGTAATCGCGAAGAATTTCCGGTATCATATATCAACGAAAATATCCATTTTGAGCGCTATCGAATTAACGATTTTTTTTCGTGACATCTGTACGTAAAGACAGAATAAAGGACTCGTTTTTTCCCAAAAAATTATAAAACTGATTTAAAAGGAATTCTGAAGGGAATTTTTCCTGGCGTCTCTGCGTGCGTGCGTACGTATGTTTGTATCTCGCATCACTCAAAAACAAGTAAACTCAGACCGTTGAAATTTTGTATAGAGGACTGCTGTGACAAATAGTTGTGCATCTCCCTTTTTGGTTCAAATCGGCCGCACCAAAAGTATATAAATATATATATCCAATCTGTTACTCGACGCGGTGAGCTGGTTTCATTATTATAGTATTACTATTATATGTTGGTAAATTGTGCATTTTTTGTTTTAAAGGTGATTGAATTATGTTGTTTTTATGTTCCGGTTAAGGTTTTAGTTAATCTGCATGTAATAGATGTAGAATTAACAACAATTTAAAAGTTGTTTAAGTGCGACTGAGTCTTATAGAGCTTATATTTGTTTACATTTCAAACTTAGCCGAAGAGTGAATTAAATCAGATTCTGCATCTTCAGTGTCTTTTTGCTGAGTGGGACCAAAAGTAAACCGAAAAAAGTAGTGCACAAATGTAGTTTTGTGCATCGAGAAATCTGCCTTCTTGCCCGTTGGCCGAATTGCGTGTTTGTGCGTAGAAACTGTAATTTTAACTATAAAAAAATTTTAATTGTGTTTAGTGTTTTATGTTTTTCGATATTTTTTAATTTTTAATGAAGATGTTTTTGAGTTTTTATGTATTTTTGCCTTGCCGTGAAGTGAGAGCTGAATTAATTAAACGCGAAATATATCTCTAATGAAATTCTAGGAAATGAATTTAAATGAAATGCAGCAAAAAACTGTGTATAATTTAATAGGCCGTACAAGTAAGTCTTGTAATGTTCACATCCGATATTTTTTTAATTTAGTACTGTAAATTTGTCTCTTAAAGGCTATCTGCTGTGGAGACGATGTCTTCATGAGATCTTTCTAATGGAAACTGATTGGTACTTAGAGTTACAAGTGAGGAAATCACAAAACACTAATATAACTGGCCTATTCGGTGGTATTCGAACCGGAATCCAATCACCTGTGTTCAGTTATCTTATCCTGACTAAAGTCCCTATCACATATGCTCCCACTACGCGGGACTGGACGTCGAAAGGGACATTTCTCAGAACCCGCACATTTCCATGAAACCTACGTAACTAGATTACCATTTTCGCATACTAAACAGACTTGAACGCCAAGCAGTAATCGATTATCGCTCTGATTGGAATCGCGTGAACCTTCAGAAGCAGAACTTTCGTCCGATTGGGTGATCTCTACCCGGGACAGAGCTGCAGACGAGTTTCAAAATATCCCGCGTAGTGGAGACATCATTTCTGTATTTAGGTGGGTCTTCGCTTCCAGCGGAGCTATTTTATATAGGAATGCTCCCGTTTAAATCAATGCTACCAGAGTCTCGTTTCTCAGAAAAGTCCCGTCTGTGACCCGTCGCTAGATGTGATAACACCTTAAGACGCATTGTGGTTAGCAGAGGCTGATCACTCGCCTGAAACCAAGATTGTAGATTCGACTTGTGATTCTCGACGAATGCTACCGAGTAAATGTAAAGATGTTATCATTTCTAGCAGCAGTCCCTGCTAGACGGGACTTTTCTGAGAAACGAGATTCTGGTAGCACTGGTTTAAACGGGAGGATCCCTAAGAAAAAAAGCCCCGCTGGAAGCGAAGTCCTGCCTAGCTACGGAAATGATGTAGCGGCTGCGTGGGATTTTTTTTAAAACTAACCGAAAATGTCTCGGCTGGAGCTCTGTCCCGGGTAAAGATAAATTAATAAGACGAAAATTCTGCTTCTGAAGGATCACGTGATCCCAATATGAGGAGATAATCGAATACAGTTTGATGTTCAAGTCTTTGTGGTAAGTGAAAATGGTAACCTAGCTACGTGGGTTTCCTGGAAATGTGTGGGTTCTGAGAATCGTCCCTTTCGACGTCAAGCCCCTCGTAGCGGAAACATAATGTGACTGCGACATAAAGCTTGGTTTTGTATATGTATCTTTTTTCCTTTTCGGCGATGGTCTACCTTCTGTTGTGCATCCTGGGCAACGTTTTTGATGATGAGATAGGTGTATGACGAATGGGCTTCGCGATTCTCGACGAATTCTACCGAGTACATGTAAGTCATATTCGTTCAGTTTAATAATCCTAGAATCTTAACAATATCTTCATAAAAGTTGCTGCCATTTCTGGGCCACCTAAACGTAAAGGATGTTTGTGCATTATAGGCGAGACCGAAGGGAATTTTTCTTGTGCTTTTACTGTGGAATAAGCGTATGCCGGTTCAGGCCGTTCCCAACTCGGTCATAATACTTCCATTGCCGATTCAGCCTCAAAAGAAGGGATTCGATCATTTTTATTACCAACTGGAAATTGCCTGGAAATATCCTTTCGTCTTATTTACTATAATATCTACGATTTTACACCTCATTTTTATAAATAGTATTAATGTTTTTTCCAATGCAGGTCTTTTTTAATGTAGCTTCTTTGCATATTATCGGAATAATCGTTCGCGGCGTCTATCCAAATAGTTCATTTTATTCATCGTCGACATCAATTTTTGCATCATTCCCTGCACTTGCATGATTTATTTGATCAATTATTTCATCACGTGAGCTTTTAAAAATAACGACAATTTCAAAAGACCTCATCGTGACCAGTGCAATATATAACAGCATCTTGGCAAGGAAAAAAGAAGAAAATAATTTGCTGCAAAAATCTGGTCCTTAAGATACGAAAATAGACGAATTATGTGATGGTTTTAATATAAAATCCGTAAGATAAAAGAGTTATAAATTTACCCCTGAATCATATATTTTGATTGGGATTCTAACTGAATTGAGAATAATGTAGTCAGGTCTGCAGTGGGACATTGCTGGAGATTATTGCGCTCTTTTTACTTAATTAATACACCGTCGGAGAAATTTTCTTTCGAAAGAAATACGTTCTTCTTTGTCTCAGATATTTTCTGACCTATGCGTGCTGCGTGCATTCGTTGTGCAAGGCGTTTGTTATGTGGGGCACCAATGTACTACTTCCTTATTCCAGGTCTTATTTGCCTTGTTTTGACAATTCGTAATACAGTACAAAGTCCGTAATCCGGACGTCCATTATCTGGAATAATCTATAATCCGGACCTCAAAGCCACAAACTTGACGCATGCGCGTAAAGAATGCGCATACTTTACGCATGCGCGTAATGCATGCTTTACACATGCGCGCGTTGAAAGAAATGTTTAATAAAGTAAACAAATAAATATTATGCTTTTTTTTTTTTTTTTTTTTGGTAAAATTTGATACCCTTTAAATCATAATTGCTCTTTATTTCATAAATTACGGTTTCGTATTTTTAATTGTATAATTTCTGCGTGCCATCTTACCAGATTTAAATTGATGATCTATAATCCGGAAAAACCCCTAATCCGGAATCGTCGAAGTCCCGACGAGTCTGGATTACAGATTTTTGTACTGTAATGGGTAAACAGTCCCACCATTGTGATATCTGTTCCGTATCACTACAATTTTTCAGCACAAGAAAATCTTAATGTTTCCGAAATTCCTGAGAAATTTGACTAAACTTATAAACCTGTAGTAATGAGTAAATTGAAGAGGGCTCGTAGGTTTTGGAAGGCTGTGTGAATGTTCAAAATGAAGAACAAAATGGCGAACCCCGTATTCAAAATAAATTAACCGTTTGAGTCTGGCGAAGCGCTAACGCGCTTCACTTGTCGTATGCCAAAAATACGGCGCAGCGCAATTTTGTATCGAGAATGCAAAGACGCTGCTGTTGGTTTACGCAATTATTGAGAGCAGTTGTAGTGATATCAGTAGCGGGAATTGGAAATTGTTTTCATTTTTTTACCAAGTGTTATACTGATAATTACGAAATAACCCATATCAAGTTCTGATTCATTTGAAAGTGACTATGTTATGAGAAGTGTTAATGAAGAGTATAGTAATGACCTTGAAAGTGATAGGGGAAGTGACATCATCATTCGTTCTAAGAGATTATGAGTTATTAGTGATAGCAGCGATGATGATGATGAAGTAACTGCAAGTACCTCCGATGACGATATTATTGATGAGTTTTTTACCCGTGGATACAATTTTTTCGAACGAATCGAATACTTTTTCTGAAGTACCTGGACCAAAGCATGCTCCTCCTCCTTATGCGAAACCAATTGAATATTTCAATAATTTTTTTTTTTTTTTTTTTTTTTTTTTTTTAATTCTCGATACAAAACAAGAGAAGTGCTATCGCGCTGCGCCGTATTTTTGGCATACGACAAGTGAAGCGCTCGCCGGACTCAAACGGTTAATGCAGATTCTGACTTTCATTTTGCAAAGATTTTTTACTTTGTCCGAGCGGTGAATGTCAAAATTCATTAAAATGTCAGAGTCATCATCAGAAAAACAAAATGTAATCGGAAACATAGAGTAAGTAGGCTTTTAACGTGGAAGGATATCTACTCTCTTTACTTCGCAGGCATACAACGATAAGATTAAACTTTAATAGCAGTAAATATAGAATTTGCTTAATGAATGAAAAATTGCTTCTTGAGTACCAAGTTCTTTACTATTTTGACATTACATCTGTGGAAAAAGTTTCAATTAACGCAATCGGATT